ACCATCACTGGTACCAATGCTGGAAAACTGCTTGACATGAGCTGGCCAACATGGGGAGTAGCATAATGCCACAACGCTGTCCCTAATTACTTATGTTGATCCATAACATCAATTCGTAGAATGAGTGGCTTGAAGAAGCCTGAAAACAAACATGGCCTCATTTACTGGAAGACGAATCCCCAAAACTCCTGCTCAGTTTCATAAGGACTGAAGGCGCTGGGCAGGGGGTATTCAATGCTTTGGAAGATAGAAGTCCATAAGAGGTCAATTATTGTGGTATTTTGGCAGGAGGAATTTGTAGAAAATTACCCTTAAAGCTATGACTCCTTTTCTCCCAGATTCTAGGAAATTCTCCTTTTGACAAATTAAAAAGTAGTGTGAAAGAATTAAAATGTGTTGGAAGCACTAAAAGCAGGGAAAAATGGGCTAAGGGGAACCCTTGCTGAAGAGGGATCAGGTTTGGCTGCTGTGATCTAGGCAGCAATTAGCTCTAAGTGTATGCACGGCAAAGTTCAGCTTTTGGCACCTGGCAAAGGTAAAACAGCAGAAACTGCAACTGCTCTGGTTGAAGGTCCTCGGAGAACTTTAGTGAGTAGTCTAGATGGTACCAATTTATAATACCACAATCTATGTTGATAAGAAATGCTACTGAGGAATTGGTTGACCCTGTGCTCTTTTAAACGTCAGATAACCTTTAGGCCACATCTTGAATTTGCTGCTCTGGGTTTTACAAATGATAAAAGAGATGAAGCATCTAAGTAGGAGTTGCAGGACTTGGCTTCTGATTACTGAGGTGACCATATCTAATATGTATCTATTAAGCATAACAGTCCCCTGAAGGCAAACAGATGAAGAGAACATGGAGCAAGGGTGTACGAAAGTCAAGATAATACTAAGTTAAAAATGGGAATTCACCACCCTCCCTGATTTTACCTTAAAAATGGACCCATCAAAATTTCCCAATGAAACTTCTTACTCTTGAAAAAATATACTACTTAGTGAGACTTTTATCTATTTGACTGAAATTCCAGCTGGAAAATACATTAGAAGTATTTAAATATTTCTAAAAGATTGTGAGAGTTTAAAAATTTCTAATCCTTATTCAGTACCAAACTAATTTTTAAATCCCATCTGGGGAATAGCAACATCATGTTTTAGCTTGTCCTAGTCAAACCAGTGCTAAACAGATAAAATGAGAACTTGCAATTTCCTCCCTTGTAAAGGTGTTGGTTGTTCAGTAGAGACATATTCCTGATCACATTTTTTTTTTCTCAGAAGCGAAGGCTGTAATTAAAAAAAAAAAAAAAAAAAGACCAACACTGAGGCAAATCTACAAAGTGGATTACTGTAGAGTATGGAGAAAATGACCTTCCGAAGTTAAAGGAGAGGCTGAAATATCCAATAATTGAAATGTCATAGGAGGAACTGAGCTGGGAAGAAAAAGCAAATATTTAAAGATGAGAAATATTTAACAAGTCACTGGGTTAATTTCTCTGCCAAGTTCATCAGAAGCAAATATATTTCTATTTGATGACAGGGACATCAGGTAGAATCTGACTAACCTTATGGGCATAAAACAACCCTGGAGGCCTCTTTAGCCCAGAACAGTTTTAATGCAGAAGTCCTGCCAGTGAACGTGTATTTTTCAGTGAGGTAGATCCACCTTGGCGTTGAAGACAAAAAATTGCATTTTATAAAAGAAAGTTATAATTGCTGTGTAAATAACTGCTCATTCCTCCACCTTTTACTGCTTGCTCTGAAGGAGCTGTTGTTCCTAGCAGAATCCAGCTCCTTTATTTCAATGAGTGTCACTGCTCTAAGTATGAGATACTCCTGTCACTTGACGTACACAAAATGTATGTCCCTTCAGGGAGCTGTTCTGAGTTTCGCTCTTCTCCTTCACTGGTTTCTCACCATCTCTCCTTCATGGACATATCGTCGTGATTAAGCCAACGATCACAAATTAAAATTAGATTGAGATTTCAAGGTGATTCCTTCTCTGTTTTCTTCATCTCCAGCCTAATTGCACCGGCTTAGCAAAGCTGTATATTTTCATGTTTTCAGTCTACTGATTGAAACGGCAACACTCCATAAATTGTGAACAGCCTCATATTCAAAAGGTTGGGTCTTAGAGGGACGTAATTTCATTTAAAAAAAAGGCTGGGAATAAGTCTCCAGACAGAGTATGTCTATGCAATGCTTTGAAATTATCAAGAATTCCTGCTCCTCCTAATTCTTCCTGATGACACAGTGGGAATGAAGCTGTTCAATGGAAAGCAGCCAGTGCCCCAGTGAAGATGGACAGATGGCTCCTGCTCAGTGCTCGCTGCCTCCCTCTCCATTCCCTTGAAGCAGCCGTGGTCTCAGAGAGCGGAGTCAATGAAACGAGGGCTGCACTCCTCATCACTGCCCAAATCACTGCGCAGACACTCCTGTAGGGCTGCTACCCGTTGGCAGATGTCACTGCCTGCACTGGGGCAGGGGAAAGCCTCAATTGCTATTATTTTTACAGATATCTGAAAGGTTTATCTTCAGTGCCTCTTTCATTGGACTAGCTTGTGGAATTAATATCTACATTAAATAGTGCAAAACCTTAGCCATATATTTCAGTCTGAGTTTTATCTTTGTGTATACTACTTTTAAGAAGAAACATAAACACTAATCAGGTTATTTGACATGGCGGAGTATACTCACTCCTAGTAATACCACTGACAATGTCTGTTCCATTATGTTAAATGAAAAAGATGTTTTGTGTATGTTTACAGTAGCCCATGATTTAATTTATACACCACTGAATTGGTTAAATTTACAGTTTAAACAGTAGATCATCTGTATGTACATCCTGTATTTAGACAGCTCCTATATTATTGTCATATTCATGAAATTAACGTATTAAAGGAATATATAAAGCCCAGCCTAAGTTTGTTCTTTGAGCACTCAACACATGGCATTTTAGTGACTGAAAGGGGAAAAAATGAAACAATTTGCATACTTCAGTACTATAGCCAATGACTGCATTGACAAGGTCACCATGCTAAATTGACATCATCCACACCACATCCAACTTCTAAAAATCTTTCAATATTTGCATGGTGATGCCTGTAAAAACCTCATTAAGTGTCAGACTCTTAGGGTTTTTTTACCTCTTGCCTGTTTAATAAGCAATTTATTTTTTTCATTAAGAATTCAGTATGCTTTTAATTTGCACAGGAAAAAAAGCTTGAATGCTGTTTTGATTGTGGTAACATGGCTAGCTGTATAAAATGCCATGTCTTCCACTACTACATACATAACTATTTCCAAAGGTAACTCTCATTGAATCAGATAACTAGCAATTTCTTTTGTAATCGGAACCTAATTAGGTGGTTGTTTACAGTACAAGTGATCAATAGCTTTTATTCTGGATCATACAGTGTCAAAGCTCTAATAATTGGTATTAAATGTAATAGAGATACTGTAATCAAACAAAATGTAAAAAATCTTCAAAAAGTATGTACCATACTGGGAGGTTATTAAAATTCCCAATACTGCTTAAAATGTTTAATGTGCTGAATACAAATGATATTTTAAAGAAAGCTTTGTGGATCAAAGATGGATTTAATAATTGTAATGTTTATGAATTTGTTTTGAAAATATTTTTAATTGGATAATGTCAGACTTTTGAATTATAATGCTATGTTCATTAGCATTTCAATAGGTTATATTATCAACTCCTTTTGACATAAAATAATTTATTTTTTAAATCATGAATCTCGTAATCTTTTTTCTGTTGTCACTAGTTTTCAATAATTTGATTAGCTTCTGCAAGGAGAGCAACAGGAACCACCTGGGCTTTGCTGGTAATGATGTGCTATATATTTCTTCTCCGAAAGCAGCTCTGATGCCTTTGAAAGTAATTTGCAGTTTCTTATCAGTACAGAATTAAAGAGTAATATTGTCTAATTTGTTATGTTCAGTGGCACAGAGTATCCTAGAATTCTATCACATACACAGTGCTTTGAAACCTATATTATTTGACCATAATCTAAAGTACGTAAGTGAATTTCAGAACTTGTGAAAGTGTTTATTGTTAGCTAAGAAAAAGCTGAAAAGAAGAACTTGTCAATAGGTTTAACAATCTCTTAGTAAGATGTGCATTTTTCACACTCCCAAACTTCATTGCAGTTTATAAAACAGTAATTTGTACTTTATAGTTGTATTGCAAATAACTGATCTGGACATTTCAGAGCAGGCCTGGGCATAATTGTGTAAGTCTCAATGTAAATCTGTAAATTCAACATGATGAACTCGTTGCTTGGCGAAGTTATCTTCTACTTTCACTAGAAACAAAACCTGATTACTGTTGATCATTTAGACATAACTGCCTGTAACAGTCAACAAGCCATCACAGTAAGGTATAAAGACAGCCCTTAGGAGAACTGCTGCCTATTTGATGACATTTAAAGCTTTAAAGAATTCCTTCTAGATACTGCAGAAAATCATCATGAGCCAGCACAGGCTGTCAATGTCACTGAATGAAAACCAAAGTGATAAAATCGCGTATACTGGCAATATTGCCATCCGAACCATTAAAACAATTTATGGAACTGGTCTTGCAAACAGTTCATCATGTCAGCAATGCCAAGGTCTGCAGCAGGAACTACCAGGGTGAGAAAAGCCTGTCACATGGGTGAGTGTGCATGACGCTGCCTTGTAATTGGATCAACCATCCTCTTGTGTTGGTTTTAGCAATCTAAGAAATAAAACACAGTTTAAATGATATCCTGCTACCTCTTTTCCCTCTACAATGTTGTAATAAGTAAGGCATGAAGTTTCTGTAACTTTTTTGAGCTGACATTACCAGCTATGTATAAACAGATAATGCTGTTTTAGTAGAGCAAATAAATTGTATGCAATTTTTATTAAACAAACAGTATAATAACTGGACTATATTATCACAATGGAAGCATAGAAGACCATAGACTGTACAGCTGAAAACCTGTAGCAAAATTTCTTTCTACTGCTTATCCTCAAATTTAAAGAAAGGTACCTTTATCAAGCTTTCACAATGGCTGCTTCTTGTTGATTTAAAGAATCTTCACCCTTGTTAAGGCTAGATCATTAAAATTGAAAGATAAATGTACTGTTAGAAAGTTCTATGCCACACTGTTTTTATGAGAATTTAACTGAAAGATGTACATTACACCTGTATGCGAATTTTAATGGCTTCTCAGCAGGGAACGCAGAATCACTTACAGTACATAAACATTTAAAGAGGAAAATGCTAATACACTGAAAGAGTTTAACATCAGTAGCAATTTGTCAAATGAAGTTTCATAAAGTCCACTCTCTGGGAGAACATTCACTGTTAGACAAAAGCCTGGCATCCTTGGTAGTCTGAAGTTCAATCAATCAATTTGAAAACCAAAACCATTCAATGAGATAAACAGGATCTTAAGAAAACTGCCATCCTCCTTCTCAGGTAAAAGCCAGAATGAAAATAATCATTATTAAAATAATCCAACCAGGTCGCTTTACAGGCAAATTTACACTCTGTCTCTTTAAAACACTGCATGCCCAAAAGCCTTTTGGGTTTGGAATGTAGCACTGCACCAAGTATTTCACAAAGCCTCTAAATATCACAAGAAGCTTTTTTAGAGAGGAAAAAAAAAAAAAAATCCAGCTGACTGAAACTGTTCTAGCAGGAGTGCCTCAGCTTAGCTCCCAGACCTGGAATTCCAGATAAACAACAGAGGACAGGAAACAGATTTTTTTTTTTTTTTTTTTTTTTACACGTCCTTTTGTAATGCAGCTACAAGACGACTGATGGGCTTAGGAACAAACAGAGTGAGAGTGCGAGTGTCATCAGAGTGAGCGGTGTGCTTAGATAGACGCGTGTAGGAAGAGCGAGCGAATTCTCTGAAGATATGTGACTGGTGGAGACTCCTGCTGTGTTGTCCTTCCCAATAGCATTCTGCAAGACACAATACTTTCCTTGGTCACCATTACACATTTTCATTGCAAAATGTTTAAAGCTACATCATGAAATTCATCTTTTATTTGTTCGTGTCCACCCTCCACTGTTACCTATATATCACTGTCACAGATTGAAAGATGAAAAGGCATAAAAACAGATGTTAAAATGACAGTATTTTAAAGTTAGTTTAAAGGACAAAAACACCACTACAGCACAATTAATAAACAAAAAAGAAGAAAGGTTAAAAAGTCCCTACGTTAGCAGTGGTTCCATGTGTAAACCTACCCTTGTTAAGTACAGCAATTTTTTTAGTGATATGTGTTTATCATGCCAGTTTATTTTAAAAAGCAAATACACAACTTGCAAAGAAACCGCAACTTCTGCACAGTCAACAGAACAACTTTGTTTGATAACAAGTTACTTCTGGATAACAACCGATAAAATCTAATCCATAGGGTCAGAAAAGACAGGTTTCTAGCTTATGAAAAATTATCTTTCTCATGCCTTTTTTCCCTTAATTGCTGCATTATTTACATTCCTTGTCTTCTTTGCTACCAATAATTAAACTATGCATATGCAAGTACAGATTAGCAGATTATAGCGAGCTATTTAAGGAGAAGGTGCAACATGCCACCAAGCCAGAAAACATGAAATTATTACTCTACCTTTAACTGGTTTAGTGGTGGACTCGGCAGTGTTAGGTTAATGGTTGGACTGGATGATCTTCAAGGTCTTTTCCAACCTAAATGATTCTATGATTCTATGATTATATGAATATTTCTCATTGCTTATCATCCTCATTTAAAAAAGAAAACTAACAGGTATAATCACAGAATCAGAACAATTTAGACTAGAAGGGACCTCTAAGGTCATTAAGTCCCAACCTATTCCATGCAAAGTTGTTCAGACCCTACAGAAGGAACAAGCCTCCCACTGTCCTGGAGAGGTAAGGGGCCAAGGTACAAGCTAGAAGTACCCAGAAGAGCAGATACAAAGAATGAGAATAGAGCATCGGTTTCCACAGGAATGGCTGTCTACCAAGCCGGGGAGGCATTAAAGGATAAATCCCCATGCCATTCCCTCACTTTGCTATCACCTGCTAGGACTGGCTAACTGGAAGGCCTTGAGATGTAAACTGTTGGAGTTAGTAGAGACAGTGGGGGAATTACCACAATATGCTTTCTGGGCATCTACTTTTCGGAAACTGTAACAGACAGAGTATGGGATAAGATAGACCAGCAGTTCTTATGGTAAGCTGCAGTTACTAGGGCCCTCTTGTGAAAGGTGTTTTAGCCAGCACAAGATGTCAACAGATCCGTTAACGTTACTGCATCGCTCCCTTGCATGTTATTAGGCTTCATTCTAGTATCTACAGGAAATTCTTAATAGAATCTAAAGCATTAGGAATGGGCTATAGAACTGTCATTGTTTGGACGAACTGTGCAAATCTGGACTGGTGAAGAAGAACCTGAAAGATATGGTCACTTCCATGTGGTGGCTTATGCCAGTACAGCTGGGCTTGCTCCAAAGCCTAGGCTCTGTGCTTCCACATTTTAAAAATTAATTTATGTACATCACTAATTATTAAGCTTCCTGAGAGACTCAGTACAAAGGATATGGACTGACAGACATGGAAACTGATGTAATGTTTACGCCTGAAAGGGGGCCTTGGAGGTCAGGCTGAGCAGACTACTCAAACAGCACTGGGAGGTTCTTGTCTCTTGGGGCTGTTGATCTGTCTCCTGATATTGAAGCATCACATATCCTGATGTGAACGTCATCTCGTGCCCTAAACCGGTCATCTTTGTTAGCCTCACAATGATGCCGAGTATGTTTCTGTGTATTTGTTAAAAGCCGTATCATCTTGTGCTCCGGCAGATTATTAACTGATTATACTTGCTAGGTGCAATGGCAATTACCATGGGATCTGCCTAAACTTGTACTACACAGCTATTAAAATACAAAGTCAGCAGAGGCCACTTTCAGCTCACCTCCAGATTTCTGAGTAAGATAATTTTTTAACACATTATGGTATCCAAACATAACAATACTAACAAGACTATAATGTGGGGTAAGCCCATTATAATCTTGACAGACTTTGAATGTTTTATATTATGGGGAGATACCTGTGCTGTGAAACATACAGGACACACACTCTTACCTCGTTAAGACAGAGCTCTGTATCTACAGATTCATTGGATTTCCTCTTCTTCTGTGCCTATGAACAAATGCAAAATTTATTCCCTGTACAATTTATACATACAGCAGCACAAAACAATTGGATAAATTTGCATGGGTTGTCATACTCCTATAATTTTGACAGTGATTTGCACATGATTAACAAATAAACTCTCCAAATGTAACTGCATGTTTTCCAATAACATTCACATTCTGATTTGAATTTACAGCAAAACTTCAAGCAGTCAGCTAACGGTACTTAGTAATTACAATGATGAGTGCCATCAGCTGCAGAGAACATGTTATGTTCTGTGGCCCCTTAAAAATGGTGCTGGAGGTTCATGAGAAGAAATGAAATATGACAGTTAATAATTACCATAATACCACTGCATATTAATAAAAAATCTATCATATGTCTCAGTTTTAGGAAAACATACAACGCAGGAATATGTTATCCTTAATGATTCTTGCAATTTCTCCATGTATTATTATGAAAATGTAAATATAATTTTAATACATTGCATGGCTGCCACAGAGTCTCTTCTAGAAAGTTAAAAAAGAAGATTTAATGTCTTTTAAAATATATACCTGTAATTCAAATTGAGCGGTTTGTTTACATTGCATTCCCTGATTATTATACATGGAATATTACTAAATGCAGGAATATTTTAGATGATCAAAGACTAAAACAATGAATCTGTTATATCTTCAGCCATGTCTTATGATGAGCATCCATTTGTTGCTATTACTGTGTGCTCTCCACACTGACTCAAGTAAGAAACATTTCTGGTGGCAGCATCATGCAAAATGAAAGCAATAGTGTGCACTCTGTCTAGCATCATAAGGTGTTTAATATTTCCATTGCTCAAGCGAACATGACTGGGCTGGGAGTTTTCTGCTTTTTTATAATAGCAATAGCAATCCCCATGGTGCTGAAGATATTTTCAGTAAATGGTGCTGTGGTTGATTTAAGTACTTCAGTGATTCTCAAGATCATTTCTTTCTTTGTATATTCCAGAAACATAAACAACACTCTCTTATAGGAGCTACCAGTGTTAAATGTACAATCAAGTCTTATAACAGAAGACTTGGATTTACACACCAAAACCACTGACTGCACTGAGCATGTCTCATACTTCCTGGAAGTTTTGCTAGACTTGCAATTTATTTCCTGCAAAAAATTAGGATCTGAATCTCACTGTGTTGCATTCATTTTACACTGCAGAATCCCACTGCTTTTGGCAGAGATGGACTGGACTGAAGCTGATGTAAGGAAGTGCTGAGCATTCTGATTTTATACTCAAAAATTTCAGTTCCACATACAGCTATTTTATTTTATATCTGAGAGCCACTGGTGCTGCCTATGGATATAAAATACTCTTTGGCCTAATTACTGATTTTAGAATCCAAATGAAGGAACTGACCTCATGAGGAAGCACATTCTCTGCTTTCATGATACTTTAATATTTATAAATAGATATATTAGAGACTGGAAAACTAAAACAGCTGGGATTTAAGGGAAAGACAGCTTAGCTATAGTAAGAATGCATACTGTATATATGTTGATAGTTTTCAAATGTATGACAAAATAATAGCTCAATTCATTCATGAACACCCTCTGTGAAATCTCTCTCTTACATACCCTTTCTTCTAATTAGTACCATTGAAGTGGTTATGGTAAGCACAAATTTAACTATCTAAATGGAAAAAGAAATGCCTGGAAGTAAATTCACTACAACAAGAAGCAACACAGTGAAGCCTCCCGGCTGTGTTTGCGGTGGTGGTGGCATTCACAGAGGTTAGGAAACTTCCTTTAATGGCAGCTGGGTAGATTTCAGGTCCTAAATGGGTGGTTCCAAGGACACAGGTAAAGAAGGAGAAACTGGATTTCAGTCCTGATTTTCTTATATCCTAAACACCCATACTACACTGAACTGGAATGTGAGACTTCAGAGGAGGCCTCAGGTTCAGAGGTTCAGATCTTGACAGTGCAAACTGTAAGGATCATACAAGCCTCCTATTTCTTAGTTTGTCATTCAGTGCTAAATTTCCTAGTCCACACAAGCATCTGTCTATTGGAAACATTATGCTTTGCTGCTTACATCTGCTTTGGATTCATAACACTGTGCTAACTACAAGTCTACTCTTGGTCGTTGGTCTCAACACCAAAGTTAGAATTTACGTTCCTTCTGTACTGTGTTTCTCAAATGAGAAAAGAGAAAAATATAATTGTTTTGCCTATATGCAGTCTTCCTCTACTTCATTCAGCCTGATAGAGTGCAACAGCTAAAACATATTTACCTTTGAGAACACTATTTTAAGGGTAAAATCAACAGAAACAAAATCAACGTAAAAAAAGCTTTTCAATCATTTTGATCTATATCCCATAGCTTTCATTTGGAAGGTAATACTTGCCTGTATCCATATACTTAATGTAGTCATTCTAAGATTGACGACACTTATTCACATGCATCCTCTATTACAAAGTCCTCCTTTCTTAGAATTGAAAAGTAATTTTAATAAACAGGCGCACTTTTCTCTTATCAAAACAGAAAGGACAGTATCTTCCATTTAAAAACACAGCAAAAAATGCAACCTATTTTGGGGGGTAGGGCAGGCAGAGGGAAGGAAAAAACCATCATTCTGAGGATGAGATGAGACATTATTGCCAAGTTTCGAATTGGGAGAGTATGTTTTTACTGTTGAGTTATAAACCTGTAAAAACGGGTTATAATGGAAATGCTGGCATAGGCTGCACTACTATAATACAACAGTGCATCACTAAATCACAAGTAATGGGAAAAAAAACCCCACCTACGTGTTGAAGAAAGTGCTATAGAAAGTGTATGTCCCTTAATTACAACTCGAGGGAAAATTCTTCCTGCCCTACTCTCGGCCAGAAAGGACTCTACATGTAGCAGAACTGCCGTATTTATGCTACAGTGAGTGAACACCTTATCGGAGGTAAAAAATCAGGGCCTGGAGGTTATGCTGATAGCTTTGGTGGAAATGCAACCAGACTGGGAGACATGCATTTGAATTATGAAGGACATCCTCAGCCATCAGATAGTTACCTTACAACTCCTTCCTTTATCCTAAAAATTAAACAGTAGAAATGTGTGCCCATCACGTACAGCTGCAGACAATTCTGACAGGGAATATCTATGCCATCAACAAATTTGGGAAATGAGAGCTGTTCGTTATGCAAGATGCCAAAGATTCACAGCCAACCCCCATCTCAGGTCTCCTACGTGCCTAACACACAGGCAAGAAGGTACCTTCAAATGTGCTAGAAGTACCTAATTCCACAGGAGTAAAATAGCACACACAAATGGCTAAGAAGGCCGTATTCAAACTTATATTTTTTTGAAGTTTAATATAAAGCTCTTATCTGGTGACAAAAAGATCTATTATAATTAATAACTAAACAAAACACAAGCAGGGCTGGGCTGATAAAAATAGTAATTAAAAAATAGTGAAAGAAAAGCAGCTTAAAATAACTGGTTAAACATATGGAAAGAGGTAGGAGATCTTTTCTACTGAGGTAAAATAGCATTTGCTAATAACTTATCCACTCAGCTGCGACATGCCTCCGACTGTAAAACAAAGTTATGTAAGACGGGTTGACACTCACCCGGCTTTCGCAGGGAACTATAATTCAGTAATGTGGGCTACTCTGACGAAGCTGCCCCCATACTGCCAACAACCTTGCACTCACTTAAGCTCTTCTATTCTGTAAAAATGAACATCTGCTTTTACAGAGAATCTTATCACTGGGGCAGCACAAGCAACAGATGATATTTAGAGATAATCATATTCACGCACCTCCTGATGAGCTCCTCAGTGTCCTGTGCATTAGTCACACAAGCCTTGTTTTGGTCTTTGCAACCTTTAGCTTTTAATATTCAAACTAAAGTGCTGGACTTAGTCAAGGGCTGCTAGAGAAACCAACTGCATGTCCAGAAAAGAAAAATCTCTCATGATCAGAAGCAGAATATTACTTCTTTCTTTCCTAGAAAGAAAGGAGAATCAGGGCCAGCAGAGGAGCTAGTAGTTTTCTGAAAGGAGAAAGGCATATTGCTTATAGAGATATTTCTCCGCCAGACATAGGACTCTGTGGACCTCCATGTTTCCTTCTAATCCCAATGGCTCCTAGATTAGTTCAATCATATGTAGCAGATTAGTTCAATCATACGTCCTTGCTCAGACTCACCCTAACCTAGTCTTCTCTTGTCCTGCACCTAATAACCGTCTTAAGATCCTCCCAAACCTAGTAACTCTCTGCTTCCCATCCCCCAAATCCCTCTACCTCCATCCTTTGCAGGCAGAAATGGTATCTTGCAATTATGCACCCAGCTTCTACAAATCACAGCAGTACATGGTTAATAAATGCATTAAACACTGCAGCAGTATCTCACCAGGATTCAGTACACAAATTATTTATGGCTTGTCATCTAGCAATATTTTTATATATCCACTACGGCATGCATATCTGTGTTACTCACAGCAAGGAAAAGGTCTGACTGGAGACGGCTCCAAATGGAGGTGAGCTTTAATTTGGAGGAAGGAGAGGGAAGGAGAAGCATGTAAAGGGAACTGAATACATTGGACCTGGATGCGGACAGGCACAGAATGAGCATCCGAACTCAGAAACCAGTCCCTTTCTGTTAGCTACACACTTTGGGCCTTATGTGCTTTACAGAATGCATTGCTTAGACATTACAGTGAGAGACGACAGAAGTATCATTATGATAGGTATCTGTTATGTGGGTTGTTTTTTCAGCTAATTTTAATGAGTGTGCCTTTGTCCTCTCCTGAGATGCCTGGTTAGTTATGCCCATATTAACAAGCCTTTCTGAAGAAGAGAGACAAATCTCCCAAATACATCCTTCAAATGACCACTCTTCTGAAGTAGCTGTAACAAATGAGAGTCCTTGTTCTTTTTGTTCTTCTCTTGTGTTGATTAGAGAGATTTACTATGCAACTAACCTGTTTTTCCAACAGCAGGACACAAGCAATAAGTAGAGAAATATACAGACT